AAGATTGTATTAAAACTCTTAGCAACGAGAAAAACAGTTTGTTGAATTTTTTCTGCTAATATGGTTATACAATCGGAATTTTAACCCCGCCAACTAGGTTCACAACCAATAAGAATCAAGCTCCCGTTCCTTGGAAGATAGAAGCTAAGTCATATGATAAGGACTATAAGCTCATATTTTTATTTTTCATCATCTGCGATGACCAACACAACTGTGGATACCTAATAGTCTTATAATTAGTTATACGTGTGTTGAAGACCTCTTGAAGCAATTTAGTTACTTTAGCCAAGACTGTAAAACTGTCAACCTCATGTCCAGGTCACCAGAGATTTGAATCTTAACCCTGACGCTACAAAATTTCCTCCTTTACTTTACCATGTGGGGAGCTTCCAGTATTATGCATTCCTTAATTGGTGACCATGGACTATTGAAATGTGAAATTGTTAGTCACGCTTTGATGTCGGTACCACAGAGCTGCTTTACCTTTTCCATTTATTCCTGCCAGTATTTACCATTTTCTCCGTTCGATGATACCACTAGATAAACCTTTTTAAGCCACATTTCATGGTTTATTTTGCGAAATATAACTCAACCTCAACTTAACTCCTATATCCAATTCAATTTCATTTTTACGATTTTGAAACCATTCAAGTTGTTAATGGTTACGAAACCGTATTGTGCTGTATTTTTGGTGTTTAAACATTCCAGTTATGAACGGTTTCGATCCCGTAAAGATAAAAATATGTTCTCAATCGTAAATTTTACGGATAATTGTATGAATGATTAATAGGATTTTACCGTTATTTCAGACGGAAAATTCTAACAGTGATTCAAGTTTATCTTGGCCAAAAACTGGCTTTTACGGAATTAATTTACATTTTGGTACAGATATTTATTTTATGAACTTGGAAGAAATGCAATTATGAACATGTGAATGGCTGATATATTAAAAATATACTTATTAATTTCTAATTAAGGCAGGCAGAAAGTTTGGTAGGATTAAAAAATTTTTAATAATAAACTTTTTTTTCATTGCTTAAAATCTTCGTCTATTTTACACCATTATAAAGAGTTATTTAAAAAATAAATTATTAAAAAATTTTGTCTTTCTTTTGAAAGGCATAGTTTTTAAATATATTCCTTCACTAAATAATTTTTTAACATGACTTTGAAATTTGTTGTATAAGGTATTGGTAAAATTGCATTATCTTCCAAAAACCAATAAACTTTCTAAAGGCTTAAGGGAAACAAACATAGTTTTAAAAATATTCGTCGAGCCAAAAGTGAAAAGAAGATTATTTATTTTTTCACAGAAGGTTTTTTTTATTAAAAATTAACGCGTGGCTTTATTCGAAAAATTCCCCAAAAACTAATTTGCTTTTAAAGTATGTTTACGTGTACCAAGTTGTGAAAGTAAGGAATACGTTCACCTTACATAAGTAAAATTTATTTTATTTTATAATCCTATTTTAATACAGAGGTTTTTGCATGTTCATTAACTGCGATTATATTAAAGTCATAAATTGAGTTTTTTTAAAGCACTGAATTTAAAGATTGTAAAAGCTAATGATGGTGTTTGTTTTAATGTCTTATGAATATATGTTCTTTTTCATTGGATAAATAAGATTTCTTTGAAAATAATGTGCTTCAGTTTAAAAAAAGTAATTTTTAACAGTTCAGGTTTCCTTTATCTAACCTTTCCTTATCGAAATAACATAGAAGCCAAAACATTTACACCATTAACGTAACATGAATAAATCAAAGCTTTGCTCCATTCACTGAACAATCGTACTCCAACTTGATTGTTCTGCTGACATATAAGACTGCTTGTAAATTTTTATTCATTTTATATCTTCCTTTATTATTATGATTACTACTCGTTTACAAATCTACAGCTGTAAAGTGAAATTATAATATAGTTTAGGACCACATAAACAGTTGATTTTGTGCATGAGTGGGCTCAGAGAGAGAAGCGTGAGCCAAAAATGTATAATAATGAAGTTTATATCCATGCTAATATTTACAAGGAGTAAGTGACCTTCTGTTTTACTCGGACATCGAATAAGTAAAAAAAAGGGGCAAAAAACCATTTCTATTAGTAAATCCACTCCGAATTAAAGCCACTTCTGGATATAGTCAAAATTTCCGACACGTTTTAACACAGACCTAAAATATGTGTTGTTGATTACCATTTACAAATGCCTGGAGAAATCTGTTCAGGGAATTGAATGCTTGCCTCCAGGACCCTGGGTCAGAGATGACCCAGGTTTGAATCCCAGGGGTGGATGGTTGATACGAATTCTGCTCCCGGCTCTCCCCGATCAGGGTACTGACGTAAATATTTTCTCAATGGTAGACGGATTGTAGCTTAGATTCATCTTGTCGTCAGCTGACTAACCGTGAGAGGTTTTCGCAGCTTTTATCACCATGCAACGCAAATGCTGTTCGTTCCTTCTAAAAATACTTCAGGAAAGCTAGTTTGAAAGCTACTTCAGGAAAGCTAGTTATTGTCATCTGGATTGGGCTCAAAATTACGAGGCTACCGAGTTGAACCCTCATAGTCGTAAACTCAGAATTGAATCGGCAGCTAAATGTCGGTTATAAAATAAAATACAAGACTTTGAAAACATTAGAATCAATATGTTATGTCGGGTTTAAATGATGATATATTTCAATTCTGCCACAGATTGAAACTGTTTCGTTTTTCTATAAGGGAAAACTCCGGCACTCAATCTGTTATCAAAAAACAATATCCTTGAGGATGTAACAATGTGGATTCGTTTGTTGGCCAACTGGAAAATCCAATTTGGTTCGCAAAATCTCTTTGCGAATCGCCGTAAATTATTTTCCAGAAAAAGTCTTTTGGTAAATGGTTGATTTTATATGTCTTGGGTAAAAAGTTACGTTAAATTTGCCACTATATTTAAAGCTTTCATACATTTAAGAACCACTCTTTTTTTTCCCTTCTCCTTTACTATTCCATTTTACGTGTCGTATAAGCGATTTTAGCATAAAAACTTAAATGGTACATATGGTGAAAGCTATCCACAACTAAAGAAGAGTAGGAAAAAAGAGAATTTGGGTGATCCAGACTGATTTGTGTGATGTTTCAAAATTTTGAGAAAAGAACAAGTTTTCCTTTTCATTGTACAGCAAGGTAAAGACTCTTTGATTGTGTTTGAATGTTAAGACTTCAGCCTATAGGTTCGAACATAACCTAGTTTCTCCTCTATGCACACAGAGGTTGCCAACTATCAGAAAAAGTTAGAAACCCACTTATTGCGATTTGTAGAGGAAAAAAATTATAGCTCAATTCACATTTTCGAATAGGAAAATGCCTTAATTAGGTATTGAGATATATTCAGAGTGGTGCATTTTGGGTAATGGTGGCGGGGTTGCCATGGATGACGTAGCCTTTCCTCTAGCCATCATTAAAATACGGAAAAATATTGATGATGTTGTCTTGAGTTTAGTAAATGAGAAGCTGCATCATCTATAAACATGGTGAATATATTTGCTCTTAACAAAATTCGCCTCATTTCAGTGGGAAGCTTTTGTTCATCTTCTTTTACTCATTCGATTTTAAACTTTTAAGACATTTTTGGGAAAAACATGTAATTTCTTGCAAATTTTTTTTTATATTTGTTGTAATTTACTTCACAATACATATATTGCTGTTATTTTAAATTTCATTTTAATTATTTTAGAATTATTTTAAAATAAATGCTTACAAAATATTATCCTTATTAGTTATTTTGGGCAAATTTTAATGCTTTAAATTTCTAAAGTAATCTGGAAAATATCTTTCAAATATTTAGTTTTATCAAAACAATAAAAAATTAACAAAAAACTGAAAAAAAATCAATTTCTATATTCTTTCCTTCTCAGAAATACTTGTTTTAAGATCGCACTATGTTCCACATTGATTACATTACATTACAACGTAATTGGTGATGATCAATAATTACTCATCACTTTCATCGGTCATTGAGCGGATGGATGACCACTTTGATCTGCTTGCGAAGGTTCTGAAAGTGTGCAGTGTCGGTCCTCTTTAAATTGTTCTAACATGAAGTGCTTGACTTCGCGTGCAGGTCGTTGGACTACCAATAAGAGGGCGTCATCCCCTCTTCAGAGGATCAAAATTGTAATGACATGTCTTCGAATTATCTTCAGAGATGTTTCTCTGACCGTCGCCAATAGCCCAATATGCTTTTCGAGTGCGAAGTAAATAGAGTAGTACTACTACACTATGTATTAAATCACTACTTAAATTTTTGATTAAACCCTGTTTTTAAATTGCATTTTAATACGTAAGACGTGATGGCTCAAGGAATAGAGAGCTTGTCTTCAAATGAGGTGACCCGGGTTCGATCCCAGCGATAGCTGGTTGATTCGAATCTCGCACCCGGCTCGCACCGACTACAGTGCTGACGTAAAATACCCTCAGTGACAGACGGATCATGGGTTAGAGTCTCCTTGTCGTCAGGCTAACCGTCAGAGGATCGCGTATACACCGGTTGTTCACACCATGTAACGCAAATGCAGGTTAGTTCCAACAGGAAGTCTTCCGCGAAGGCGAATTTCTCCCGATACTTGATCTAGGAGTTCCTTTGTCTTCTGGATTGGGTTTAAAATTACAAGGCTATGGAGTAGAACATTAGTAGTCGTAAACCCAAATGCCGACGACGGTTATAAAATATAAAATGCGTAAGACAGAGCATATTGATAGTGAATTTTATTTTTTATTTCCTCTAGAACTTACTCAATCTACAAATCAATTTGTTTCCAATGTTTATTCTAATAAAATCAAAGATTCTTTATTGGATTCTTTCCTTCTACTTTCGATACCACGCTCGAAATAATTAATAGGGGCTCTTATTTTTCCAACCCACTTCTTCGAAATCCAGGGGTGACGAAAACATACTCATGTGCAAGATACCCGGAGAAAAAGGAACACGGGGAAAGAACGACACAGAAATCGCTTGCGCGCAAACAACTTGAAAGCGCACGCGCAGGTCCCCCTCCTTTTGCAAAATTCTTCCAAGCTTTCCACTGAAAGCTCATAAACAGTTGTGGAATGACACTCGACGACAGGACATATTCTTCTTCAGATTTCTCTGCATAAAGGGAGAAATTTGTTTTCACACGTTCTTCTCTTTGTCGCCAAGGTGTGTAGAACGATTTTTGGTTTTTATACTTTGGTACTTACCCATTTTTGGAAGTTTAGATTGGAAGATCCCAGATAAAATATAACAGGTAAACTTTCTTTAACGGTTAGTAGAGTGTTTGAAACTTTGTAGTAAAAGACTTGTTCCGCTTTCTTTTCTTTCCTTCTTTTCTTTTCTTCTTTTTTTAACTCATTGCGGTTAAGGTTATGCTTAGAGAATAAATTCATAAAATGCGCTGAATTATAGAGTTTTTCATTTCTGTTTTTAAAATTTTTTTTGCTGTCAAAAATTTTCAATTTATTTTATGAATATTAATAAAATATATTAATAATTTTTTTAAAAAAAAATTGTATCTTTTAGTTGGTTGAGTTTTGAAACTTTTTAAAAGAAAGCTTGTTCTACTTTCAGCATTTTTAATGTATTGCATTATAAAATTATGCATTTTGTAATTGTATTACATGATTGTATCATTTCATTTTTGTTCAATGAAAATTTCAAGAAATATTTTTTTAATCAGAAATCAATTAGTTTTTTTAATAAAGGTTAAAAAATATATTTTTTATTATTTTTGTTAAATGTTTAAAAGTTTTCATTAGAAGACTTCCCTTTTCAGTTTTTTAAACTCATTGAAAATATTGGGGTTAAAGGAAAACTATAGAATAAATTTACAAAATATATTGCATTAAAAAACTTTTTATTTTTGTTTTATGAAAATTTTAAAAAAAATGTTCATCAACTATTTTAAATGTAATTTCGCGATGAAATATTTAAAAAAATGAAATATTTCGGTTTGCTGAGTGTTTGAAACTTACTTTGTCGTGAAAGAGATGTTCCGCTTTCCGTTTTTTTCTCATCATAGGTAGGTTATGATTTTTCTCATCATAAATCTAAAAAATGCATTACATTGTAGGATTTTTAATGCAATACGGAGATTTTAGAAAGATTAATTTATTTTTTAAAAATATGTGTCTATGCAAAAAATTTACAAATAGAAATAAATAAAAAGTAAAAACAATAAGAAAAGCTGCATTTTTTGGCCAGACAAGTGTTAGGACTTTGTAGAAATGTAATATTTGTTTCATTATCAAATTTTTAATTTCACCAAAGTCCTTGTGGTTAAGGATAAAAAAAAATTCAAAAAAGGAAATAAATACTTTAATAAAGATCGTTTTTTTATTTCATGAAGATTTAAGTAGGATTCATTTTTAACATAATTTTAAGCATAAACTTTTGTAAGAAAATAAAAAAGAAATAGTTTCTTTCCGGGAACTGATTCATGAACTGTTTGAAACGAATTTGTCATGAAAAAGAAATTAAGAAAAGTAAGTCATATTTATTGTAAAAAAATGTAATTGTCTCAAACGTTTTAAATGTATTTATTATTTGAATTTTTAAATTATTATCATCGACACATTAATATTTTATTTTTGAATTCATAGTAAATGTTTTAATTGAAATTACATTAAGTAGTTAAATTTTTTTTTCAATAACAGAACTAAATTTTTTTGTGTGATAGTCTTTTAATTAACTATCAAGAAAAATAATAATCCCAGATGATCTCTATAAAAAACTGAAATAAATAATTATTCTTAAATGCATAGTCTATTTGCTTGAACATATAATTCTATCAGCATTTTTACCTAGTTAGTACTTTAATTTAAAACAATTGTAAAGAAAGGAAACAGTTTTATAATTCCCTTTTTTGTTTTAACAAAATCATTAACTCCTGAATTTCGCGCCTGAATTGTTAAAAGTTAAGTTTTATTAATTAAGAAAAGCACCGATTATGTCAAACATTCTCTATAAATTAAATAAGAATTAATTAATTATAATTACATTTTTAATTTGAAATGATTTAAATTTTAAAAAAAAATTATATTGCAATTTGTGTTTGAATTGAAATTATGTAAACATACGACAAATAGTATCATATTTTCAATTTTACAAGAATAAATATTAGTTAGCTGTTAGAAACTGAATTGTTCAAGTATATTAAATCAAAAAATTCTTTGAATAAGAATTTATTTTTATTTTAAAGAAATAAAATTATCGGACATACGTAATTTTATATTTTCCTTTCAAAATAATCTACACTGAGAAAAAAAGTATGATTAAAACTACCAGAATATGGTGAAATTCAACGTGTTTCTGGCTCTATGGGAACAATAAAAAGCTTGGTAATTTTTGACGAAGCTCTTTGGTAATGAGTTTGGTAAAACTAACATTGTAATATGGTTTTATAATATTTGAAAAAATTTGGTAGATGTGGTAATTTTTTAATTTTTTTAACATGGTAACTTAAAGCATGGCATAAAATGTTATTTTTCAAATTGTAAGGTTTCACTTTTCATCTTTACAGTTCAATCTTCATGTTTTTATTGATGTATGTCATTTTAAATATCCTCTTTTATGTATTTAAGAACTTAATGTTTCAATATTGAATAGAAATTTTAATTATATTCCTTATTTACTAAAAGGGTTTAGATGATACTTCTCAGTTTCTAGCATGATTTCAATTAGAACAAAAATTCATTTATTAAAATAATTTGGAGCATCCTGTGCAAAGATGTGACACAAATTTGCAATTATAATAAATAATTACTGTTATACATTCAGTGCATATACTGTAATATATATTACTCGTTTGCAAAGGTAAATTTATGAGTTTTATCATCATAGGTGTTTTTTCCGTGGTTAGATTCCTTATCTACGTAAGAACATATTATTCAGAGATTTTTACTTTTATATTTAAACTTCTTTCCACTTCTTTATTCCACTCAATAAGTCATATTTCTTGAATACAATTGAAAAAGAGATCAATACTGCATACATGCATAATGCTGAATCAGTTTTCTTATTTGAGTGATCAATCGAAAAATATCGCAAATTTGCTTCGTCTAAATTCAAAATTCCATATTGATAAAAATAACTCGTTGTGCTCCCATGTTTACAAAGAAAGCTTTAGTAAAGTTTAAAAAGAATCAGAGTTTTTAAAGTGGGCCTAAACATTCGCTTTTTTAGGTCAAAAATGTAAATTTGATATTAATTTTTAAAAACACAAGCATAAAAAAATTCAGTTTCCATGCTCAAAAATTTACAGTAGTAAAATTAAAAATGCTGTGCATAAAAAATTACATTTAAGTGCTCTAGAGCAGAGAAATGTGGAATACTTAATCTTACGTAAATATGAGGTTAGAAATAAAAAATATGCGTTAATGAAAATTAAAGTTTAAAAAAAATTTAGTTATTGAAAATTAAGGTTTTCATGCAGATTTCGTAAGGCCTAAGTTGATATTCCATATTCCATGTAATTTTTTGCTGTTACTATGTAGTTCATATTTTTCAAATTTAAAACTAATTTTTTTTTTATATTCATGCTTAGAGGCTGTGGTAGCTCAAGGGATAGAGCGTTCGCTTTCCAATGAGGTGAACCGGGTCGAATTCCAGCTTAGGCTGATCGATACGAATTCCGCACCCGGCTGGCACTGACACAGTGCTGACGTAAAATATCTTTAGTGATAGATGGACCATGGGTTAAAGTCCCCTCGTAGTCAGGTTAACCGTGGAAGGGTTTCGTGGATTTTCTCTCCCTGTTACGCAAATGCGGGTTAACTCCATCAATAAGTCCTCCACGCAATCGAATTTCGCCCAATATTTTATCCAATAATTCCCCTGTTGTCTGGATTGGGCTCAAAATTACAAAGCTACGGAGTTGAACATTAATACTCGTAAACCCAAAATTGGGTTGATTTTCAACGACGATTATAAAACAAAATATATTCGATAAAATTATGCTAGTATGCTTTTAAAATTATGAAATAAATTTTTTTGGTTAAAAAATTGTCTTATAGCCTTTATAGGTCATATTTTGAATAGCTTTTACTCATAAAGTAATTATTCTTCTAATCAATAGAATTTTAAGCTAGTAAGTTTCCCTGTTTATTGTAACACTTAAATTAGGTTATTCAGAAAATAATTCCTTTTATTATAGGAAAATTAAATATGTGTTTCTTATAGTGAATATATATTTTATTTATTCATATATTGTACATTCTGGTTCAATATATCTTGCCATCTTTCTGGCAGTAGCATGATTACACACTCATAAAATTTTTGTTCTTTTCTGGTCAGAAACTATCCAGATATTTACCTTCTAAGGAATTTTGTATAAACCAGGACATTGTTAAAGACAGCCCATTTTTCATCGCCAGTGATGATGATTGGCTTCCCAAAATGGATAATTTTCTTGACGTTCGAGAGGAACATGACAGACGTCAACAACGCGAAGGCAAAAATTTCACTACTCGAGAATATGGAGTAACTCGTAAGTCGAGCTTAAAAACTAAAAATGATCATGAACGATGAAACTCGATAAATTTAATCCCTCAGTGATCTCACAACTTGTTATTCGCCGGGAAGCATCACTTAATGCCTTATTTGCATCTTCATAATCTTCTATTGGCATGGTGTGTCGTCAGTTTAATTGCCAGATTGAAATTCGACAAACCAGTTTTGGCATTGGAGTATTGTGAATATCTCATCTCCATACTCATTGGATTATTTTTTTCATTGATTCAGTAACATTTTGTTCTTTTTGAACAGTAAAAAAAAGAGAGAAAAATATACCAAAAAATATAATAAATAAAAGTACAGATAGTTTGCTAACCCAACTTCACAAGCTATATACCCTTTGAATCAGAATTTTCATTAAACATATTTTACATGCCTTTTTTTTTATTTTGAATTACTTTGTGCCAAAATAAGTGAAAAATATTAGATTTATTATTTCAATAATTTATGGTTATGAAATACATCATGAAACACAGGTGTCTTTTTCTGAGTTAACGGTATAATCTTCCAAGTAGGGGTCACTTCCAAAGAATGATCGATAAAATTTGCAGTTATTTAGATCTTTGAGAAATAATAATTTATTATTGAAGTTTCTTTAATTTATAAAATCAAGAATGATAAATTTTTGCAAATGAAAGAAAAAAATTTTTCAAACTACTGTTTTAGTATTTTGGTGCAAATATAGTTCCAAAAAAATTTAGCAGGTTATTTTAGTAAATATAAGGCTTCTTTATAATT